TCGAACAAGTAGATGCTGTAATTGCTTGTCCTGTTCCTTGGACAAGATACCAAACTCCTGGAGCTGTCGCTGCCGATGCTCCCCGACAATTCCCTACGGTATCCGGATTGGCATTCAATGTTCTGTAGGACAGAACAACTCCGGAACTTGTGGGCGCCACGGGGCCATGCGCATATTCACATTTGTCATTGTCCACAATTTCCAGCGAAAAGGTAGCATCATCATCTTGATCTTGATTATTATTTGTATTGGGCGTCACCAACAGATAGTACCCGGTGTTCTCCTCCGCATGCCAAGACCGAGAGCTGCACTCCTCATTATTATTCAAATCTTGACGTTGTGGGTAAAATCATTCCTGTCCCGTGAAAGCCTCGAGGACCACGTTACCACAGACAATGAGAGTGACAGGCCCTGCGACTCTCGGCGAGTAAACGTACCAACCCCCAATAGTAGGCAGTTCCAAGGAGATTCCTTGGCCACAGGTAACCGTGTACTCCTCCACGAGATTCAAGCTGGAGAGAGGCGCTGATAATACTCCTCCTGAAAGTTCCAGAAAGTGTGCCTCGTCCCGAATGGAATTGTTTCGGTTGGCGTTGGACCAGGTCGGTCTGACACTTGGCGCGTCCGTCATAAAGGCTGTGGGTACCGGGCTACTGGGAGTACTGTTACTACCACTGCTCGTCGTCGGAGCCATCGTAGTAGTAGTTGTAGCATTCATTCCATCATCACTGGGTAGCAGTATGACATCTTGTGTTGTCGTGGGTGCACTTCCTGTGGCAGTGCTGCTGCTGCTATTCGTAGTAGTACCGGTATCTCGGGTGCCAAGGTAAACTCCTACCGCAACACCAGCTCCGGCCAAAATCAAAATCAGAGCAGAAATGCCCAGGCACACGCGGCGTCTCTTGGCGGCGCTGCTGCTGTCGCCTTTGTTGTAATCGCCTGGTTCCTCCGCAATCACCGCCTCGCCGACGACAGCATTCTGCAAGAACTGATTCCGAACCTCTTCTTCAATCCGCTGACGATAATCTTCGTCATCGTGGTCCACGGTTCCTTCTTCGACCAGCGTGGCATGGACCGTATGGTGGGTCATGATTGGCTCTGATGCTTGTGCTGGTGCTGCCGCAAAATCATGATGTGGAGCATTCGTTGTATGATCATTCTCTGTTGGCACAGCACTGCCCGGAGTGGTGGAAGCCGAAGCATCCGATCTCCGTGCGGCAGGGTAATGAATCTGTCGCTTGGCGTCTCTCAACAAGGCAGACGACGCAGGAGTCAGGTTACTGCTAGTATTCGTATTAGAGATTCTGGAAGCTCCGACAGTACTAGTAGCAGTGACAGGCTGCGGTTGGGAGGCTCGGGCTCCTGTATTCTTTGGGTGGCCTGAAGGGTAGGCAATGAGCTTTTTGGCGTCTCGCAAAACGGAGCCAGATGCGGTTGTTGTGCCTGTTGCAACGCCGTTGGGCTCGCTTTTGGCTCCGGTGCTTGTAGAAGAGTTGTTCATACTGTACCTATTGTGAGCTGCTGTTGTTGTGACTATACTGGTATACTTATACCGTTGGAAAAGGACCTAAAAGGAAAACAATGACTTGAGTGAAGGTGGCGGGCCCTCCTACCGTACTGTGTACTACGGTTGTAGTACCGTATCTTGCACTTTGTGACGTTGAGACTTGTTTTTTAGCTGTTTTTGTTTTACCCCAGCTTTGCAAGGGTTCCGAGTTCCGATCCAAGACTCGCATGGTGGGTTTTCAGGTGAGTTAGAATGATTAGGGCTAGAGTACTAGTATGGTACCGGTATGCACCGGTTCTCCGTGGCCATCATTATTTATCCAGGTTCACGTCTGAGCCTTTTCGCTACATGTACAGTACAGGCGCTCGAGCTTACCGCTGGAATTGCGCGGTGGGTGACAGTCGAGTTGCTCCAGGATCTTTGAGCTACTAGCACTGAAGTCGAACACAACACCCATTCCGTCAACCCAAGAAATCACGACAACGTCAACACAAAATACCAGGATCCAACACTCTTATCACCAAACCTGTCATCATCATGTATGCAGAAGCTCCATCGGCGGAAGTGGATCCCATGTCAACCATGCAGACCAGCCAGCCGTGGCAGGATACCTTTTATGCTGAAGAGCCCGACATTGAAGCTGTTTTCGATGTGGACATTGAAGCCATTCGACTCTATCAACGTCGAACATCTTTTCAGTTTTGTGCCATTGTGCTTGCATACTCTTTCCTGCACATTTTCCTGTTCCTTGCTCTCAAAGTCTTGAAACGGGATGGTTGGGCGGTATTCTTGGTCGTTAGTGTGGCGATGGTTGGTTCTTTCTTTGTTGCATGGGTGGCACAAACCTTAAAGGCCGCAGTGTTTGGTGCCACCTGGGCTGCATTGCTGCACCTGTGCCGTGCTCTTGGCCTCGGGATGTTGTTCTTCTGGTCGGTTTCGTATTGGGTTTTTTATGCGGTATACACTAGTACATGTATGCAGGCCGCGATGTCTGGTAACACTGTGCCCTATGGCAGTGGAAGAGTCTACATGGCCATTGCCAGTTCCTGTGTTCGTTATGATCAGAAGAATCCCATGGTTTCGTCGGCCATTGCTCTACAAGATATCTCAACTTGTACTGTGGAGCAACGCAAAATGAGACGTCGTTGCTGCGGTCTAATCGGAGAAACCAAAACCATCAGCTTGATCCATCTTAAGGCTGCCAATAGCAGAGGATCTAAGATCTTTGTGGGTGTCAAGGACCCAAGAAACTTTGCACGATTGGTCATGACCATCAAGAACCGCCCTTGTGCTGCTCCTGCTTTTGCTCCAATTGCTTCCAGCTCTGAAATTGTGTGGTCAGCAGGAGTGGTTTGACTCTAGTAAGATGGGATTGTTTGGTGTGATTCTGTTAGACATTGGTGTCATAGCATTGCATAACTTTTTAGAAGATTGAATCGAATCATTGCTTCGAAATACTCGGACCCAACCAAACAATTAATTGGTACCAGGTACGGTACCACTGTGACACTTCAGGGTAGCAGCTACAGGAATATGGAACTTGGACCCAACCCAACTATGGGTATCACTTCAGGGACCACTACAGTGGCTTCAGAATTGTGAGAAGTTGGGAAAAATTGGAATTGTGAGAAGTTGGGGAAAATTGGAATTGTGAGAAATCGTAAACAATTGAAATTGTGAGGAATTGTAAAAAATTGTAATTGTGAGAAATCTTGAAAAATTTGAATTGTGAGAAGTTGAGAAAAATTGGAATTGTGAGAAGTTGGGAAAAATTGGAAATTGTGAGAAGTTGGGAAAAATTGGAATTGTGAGAAAATGAAAAATATAAAAATCTAATAAAATTGGAATTGTGAGAAGTTGGGAAAATTGGAATTGTGAGAAGTTGGGGAAAATTGGAATTGTGAGAAGTTGGGAAAATTGAATTGTGAGAAATCATGAAAAATGGAATTGTGAGAAGTGGGAAAATTGGAATTGTGAGAAATCGTAAAAAATTGGAATTGTGAGGAATCAGAAAAAATGGAATGTGAGAAGTTGGGAAAATTGGAATTGTGAGAAATCATGAAAAATTGGAATTGTGAGAAGTTGGGAAAAATTGGAATTGTGAGAAGTTGGGGAAAAATTTGAATTGTGAGAAGTTGGGAAAAATTTGAATTGTGAGAAATCATGAAAAATTGGAATTGTGAGGAATTGTAAAAAATTGGAATTGTGAGAAATCTTGAAAAATTTGAATTGTGAGAAGTTGGGAAAAATTGGAATTGTGAGAAGTTGGGAAAATTGGAATTGTGAGAAATCGAAAATTTAATTGTGAGGAATCGAAAATTGAATTGTGAGAAACTGAAAATTGAATTGTGAGAATGAAAATTGAATTGTGAGAATAAAAGTTGAATTGTGAGAATAAAAATGATTTGAATTGTGAGAAGTTGGGAAATTGGAATTGTGAGGAATCGTGAAAAATTGGAATTGTGAGAAGTTGGGAAAAATTGAACTGTGAGAAATGTGAAATTGGAATTGTGAGAAATCATGAAAAATTGGAATTGTGAGAATGGAATGAAAACTTGAATTGTGAGAAATCATGAAAAATTGGAATTGTGAGAAATCATGAAAAATTGGAATTGTGAGAAGTTGGGAAAAACTTGAATTGTGAGAAATAAAAAATTGAATTGTGAGGAATTGAAAAATTGGAATTGTGAGAATGAAAATGATGGAATTGTGAGAAATCGTAAAAAAATGGAATTGTGAGGAATCATGAAAAAATGGAATTGTGAGAAGTTGGGAAAAATTGGAATTGTGAAATCAGAAAAATTAAAAAATCATGAAAATTGGAATGAGAAGTTGGGAAAATTGAATTGTGAGAAGTTGGGGAAAATTGGAATTGTGAGAAGTTGGGGAAAATTGGAATTGTGAGAAGTTGGGGAAAATTGGAATTGTGAGAAATCGTAAAAAATTGGAATTGTGAGAATCATGAAAAAATGGAATTGTGAGAAGTTGGGAAAAACTTGGAATTGTGAGAAATCATGAAAAATTGGAATTGTGAAGAATGTTGGGAAAAATTGAATTGTGAGAAGTTGGGGAAAATAAATTGTGAGAAGTTGGGAAAAATTTGAATTGTGAGAAATCATGAAAAATTGGAATTGTGAGATGTTGGGAAAAATTGGAATTGTGAGAAGTTGGGGAAAACTTGAATTGTGAGAAATCATGAAAAATTGGAATTGTGAGATGTTGGGAAAAATTGGAATTGTGAGAAATCGGGAAAATTGGAAGTGTGAGGAATCGGAATCGGAAAATGAAAATTTTAATTGTGAGAAATTATGCAAAATTTGAATTGTGAGAAATCGAATCTGAAAATCGGAATTGTGAGGACCCAAACTTGAAATTGTGCGAATTGGAAAGTTGGATCTTCTCGAACGACACAACAACCACTGCACCCTCTGACACTTCCTAATCCTTCGTGCCCAATCCAACCAACTGTACATACATGTATACTTACTAACAACTTGTTGTCCATGTCGTCAGAAGAAGAGGACCCATCGAAGTATGATGTGTCGACCTTGAGAAGCACTGTATCCTTGGAACAGGTAATAATCATCCAGTGTAGAACCAGCTACATGCACTAGGAAATTGGGAAAGATACCCCGTCTCATTTTTGTGTCCATGCAAGGCCATCGTTCTCATGCCATCCGTCACGCTTTCCATACACTGCTGCAGGAGAGTTAGCCAATGTCTACCTCGTTAGCCACAAAACGAGCAAAAAGACGTATGCTCTCAAAATATTCGACAAGGTGAGCAGGTCCATAGTCAGTGGTCAGCCGGCAGGTAGTGGACTGTTTTCTGCCGTCTCTAAGAACAAGTTCCTCCAATGAAAAACGTATAACTTCCCTACTTCAAAACCTCTCTCATGTATACATATGCATAGCTCCATTGCTTTGAACACACCGCTGGTTTTGACGCCGTCAAGAGTTTGAACCGGGAAGCCGAAGTCCTCCGGCTGATTCAGAGTCCCTTCATTCTGCAAATGTACCAATCTTGGCAAGACAAGACCTGTGTCTACTTTTTACTGCCCCTGATTCCGGGAGGGGAGCTATCCAAACGACTTTATGATTACACCAATCAAGAAGGAAACAGCACGGACGTGGGATTGCCAACCGACCATGCCTTGTTTTACAGCGCCTGCATTGCGGAAGCCATTGCCCACATGCACCAACGCAATATTGCTTACCGTGATTTGAAACCAGGTAAGCACACACTTGTAGGATCGGCTGCAAAATACTGCGGCTCCACAGTGTTGTTGTCAATGTGTGCTTACATTTTGTGGAATTGCATGTTGAAACCAGACAATATCATGATTGACCGCGAGGGATACTGTGTCCTGATTGACCTAGGTTTCACGAAGGTTATCATGGACAAGAGTTACACCATGTGTGGGACACCCGGTTATGTGGCAAGTGAACAACTCGCCAGTGGAAATCGAGGTGGGGGTGTTCGCAGGCACCATACGAAACTGGTGGATTGGTGGAGTTTTGCCGTCGTACTGTAAGAATCAGTGAATTGTTCCTTATGAATGACGGTGCTGTAGAAGCACGGTTACACTCCTTCCTGAGACCTCTCTCACCATGCATCTTGTTGTATTCTTCTGCAGGTATGAACTACTCAAGAATCAAACTCCCTTTCAATGTCCCGGCAGTAAGTCCACAGTTTCAAAAGAAGAAACTACATGAAACCAATTTGCTAACATGAATGCTCGTTGTTCGGGTTGCTCAGTGGATGATTGGGATACCCAGGATGCCATTATGATTGCCGATTACAAATGTCCCGGCTTTTTCCCTGCCGCTGCTAAGGATTTGATTGATAAGTTGATCGTTGTGGATGTCACAAAACGGTTGGGGTATGCGGCCGAACCAGGCACCAGCAATCATGCCGCCATTCTTCAACATGAATGGTTTGAGACTATTGATTTTGACAAGTTGCGAGCCAAGGAGCTATCAGCACCATGGATTCCGCCCCTGCAAGATGACAAGGATACGTCTCACTTTTACGAATTTGATGAAAAGGAGGAGGAGTATCTGCCTTATCGCAGCTTGTCAGCGACAGAGCAGAAGGAGTTTGAAAAGTTCGAGTTCAAAGAGACAACATGACAACCAATCCTAGCGAGCAGCTTTCCAAAACGAATAGTAGTTATGCCTAAGTGTACCGGTACACCCACTACATGTATGCCGAGTGGCTCGCATATCCCATCTAGCTAGCTTGTGGGTCCAAGCAAAGACGGCAAAACCTTGTTTGTTCCAACCAGTGTAGCATCTCCATATCTCTTTCCATGCTGTCGTTAAGTCTTTTAAAATAACGGAGCGCCGAGCTCCCGCAAGACTTCAACACGCAGGACCTGTCATTGCCAGGATCACGATCATTGTTTTCCAGAACGATTGGCTCAGCATCCAACGGCATCGAACATGTAGTGGAATATCCCTGACATTTTGCCCAATTGCGTTGCAATGAACCACAGTCGATTCATTCTATCATGGACCAACCTGAATATACAATGGTGACAGTTGAAACAGCCCAAAGCATGGGAGAAACGCCCGAAGTCCAGGACGACGATGCCTCCGCCGTTGATAGTGTTGCCATCCTGTTTCTCTCCTTCTATGTGGTCTTCTGTTTCATTTGTAACTACTACTGGGCACTTCAGGTTTGGGAATACTTGTGTGACTTGTGCAACTGCCGCTGGAGTCAAAGGTTGATCAACCTCATCATCCCACATTGGTACATGTATGTCTGTCTACTCGGGACACCTGTTCTCGGCTATGGTACATTTGGCATCACTGGGGCAGTGGTGTTGTCCTTCTTTGGGGCCATGGTCCCTTATTGTGTCTTGTACCGGTACAATGAAAGACACAGCAGTGCATCGCGGCGGTCCACCCAAATCACTGCAGCTTCACGTCGGTCTGTCACGGAATCATCCAGTCATGACATTGAAGGTGCAACAAGTACATTGTCCGACAAGTATCTCGAAAGCAATCTGCACTTCCATCAGTTTGTGCAGAGTAATAGCCCCCATGAGGATATTGGAGATGAGGCGGCTGATATGGACGAGGACGCAGATCCTTCAAAGCTCAGCAGCAACAAAGAAAGTGTGGAATCAGATCACAACGCCCACCATGAATGTGCTGTTTGCTTTGATGACTACCAGCACAATGATGTACTTTGCAGGTCTCCAAATCCAGACTGTCACCACTCCTTCCACAAAACTTGTGCTTTTGAATGGCTGAGAAAGAACAACATGTGCCCTGTTTGTCGAAGACGCTATGTTGGGGATTTTCCATCATCATCATCAGCAGCAGCACCAGCGACCAACGAACAAGATCGAGAGTAAAAAAGCAACTGGCAAAGGTCATGAGATCGCAGATGCCCAGCTGTCCAAGAAGATCCAACGCAGAACACCCTTGCCGTACACTATGAATAGTCTCCGATGCATCCGCCGTCGCTTCGATCGGAATGGTGACGATGGCGACATTGGTCAGGATGCATGAAGCTATGAGGTTTCGCGCATCCGTTCCGACGATCGAGGTATCTTCGGTTTGTGACTGTATTCTGGGGTACCAGATACCGGTATCATGAAGAGGAGGCCCGCATTTTGCGCCTACCGTTTAGCTACACTTTGTAGGGAGACGAGGGAGATGACTTTTGTCATTTCCCGGACCGTTGTCGATCCTCGCGGTTGGACGCATCCAATCTCCCATCGAAGCAAATGGACATGCCTTGTCGACTCTTTCTTCGTCTAAAGAGAAGAATATTACAAGCGTGACAGGCAGCTTTTTACGGCACGCACGCTTCAGCCTTACTAAAATGAAAGCTGAGAGCCTTCTGGCCACTGTAGCTATGGATCGACAGCGGGATACTATGTGACTACTGTATGCAGAGGTGTGAGAAATGCTTCAGTTGACCTGACGATACCAGCCTCCGAACCAGCTACCGTAACTACAACTACGCACACCCACTCTGCCCACGATCGGTGGTGCGTTTTCGGGTTGCTACGGTACGTGTCAGTGATCGAGCTGGTTTCAGAAAATGCATGTTGCGTTTTACATGTTCGAGCACTTGTAGACCACTCTACTAGACAGCATGACTTCTTCAAACACCGTGAGGAGGACCCGAGTGCCCCTGTAGAGCCACTGAGGCTACTGGGAGTTGTCCGCTGTTCCCAGCCAGTGGATTGATCGACACGATAGGCTGCTGTCGATCCTGTTGTTGCTGTTCGTTAATTGTAGTACTGGTACCGGCAGCTATCTCTTTGTTGTTGTCAGCTTAGTAGTGGTAGTGCGTCGTTCGATTTGATCGGTCGTTGCTGATTCGTGTTGCAACGGAGCGATCGAATCGACGACAACAGCACCACCAACAACAGGACGATGGCTGCCGGCTGCCACGCTGCCGCCGGCCGGAGGTGGTGGCAATGGAGAATGGACAACCATCACCAGTAGATCAGCCCCAGATAACCTTTCAACACCAAACCAAGTTGCTCTACGTCCGTCTAAGAGGTGTTAGAAGAGATGGGAATTGCTTTCTTTTCAAAAGAAGAAAACAACTTTCTTTGGTTACGTACCCCCATCCTGTACCGGTACCGGTATGTGCCGTAGATAAAGCCAATCCTATCCGTGCCCGATTACGGTATCCGGAATGTTGAAGGAGCGTTGAGAGCGAGGATGCCGAATGGGCTTATGTAATAACATACTTTAAAATGAATACAATATAAACTCCGGTTCCGGTGAGATCCTATCGTTGTACTGATTTTGTGATAGTGCACATTCCATACGCCGCGGAATTTTGCCCAAATTTCGGGCACGCCTGCCGGCATACGGAATGTGACTGACCAAACTGACGTAAGAGTAGAATGCTGAGAAATCAACATTCCGTAAACCGTAATCCGTAACGACTACGATCGGCTTAATTTCCCTACTCTGAACTCTGAACCCATCGAAACGGCGCAAACCCTGACCAAAAAGTGTATTTGGGTTAGGGGTAGAGTTATGGACATTGTGTTAAAATTCAGATTCTGATTGGACAACTCAAATAGGCTGTTCCTCCATGGAAAAGACTTCTGCATGTTTTGAAAAAGGAAAAAAGACACAAATAGAGAGTCTTACTAGTACCCCAAGGCCTTGCAGAGCGACGCAGAACCCGCCACGCACTCACGCACTCGACACCCCACCCTTTGCTCCACACTCCAATCAGCCGCAGTGTATTACACCAAGGTGCAGGTGACGCGATATGCACTCACGCACTCGTCACCCCACCCTTTGCTCCACACTCCGATCAGCCGCAGTGTATTACCCCAAGGTACAGAGTGACGCAGAACCAGCCAGGCACGCACGCACTCGTCACCCCACCTTTTGCTCCACACTCCAATCAGCCGCAGCAGCCCACGATACCACAAAAATTCCCTCCAAGCCATAGTAACCAATCTTCAAAAGTGAAATCCCCTGCTTAACTCTCCAACTTTAACAGTATGAAGCAACAAAGCAACTTCGACGATGCCAAAGGGAATCTTGCAGCCAGCAATGATATGGAGGAGAAAGGCATCAGAACGGAAGGTGCCGAAAGGACAACTTCCGCGTGCACCAGTATTGGTCCAAATATTACCGCAGGCGTTGGAATGGGTAGTGGTTTGGTGGAATCCCCACCTGAGGCATCTTTGAGCAGTTGTGGAATTAGTTCTGAAGAAACAGCTATCGTCTGTAAAGAAGCTAATGCTAATTCCTCAGCTGCGTCAAAAAAGGGTTTATCCCGCACTCCAGACGAACTGGCTGAGAAACTGAATGCCGCACGGGGCAATCATCAGCCAAGATTCCGTTCAAGCTCAGGACAGGATAGTGCTGTTAGAAGTAGCGCAATGGGATTTCACGGGCTAGGACGATCCACAGAGGAGCAGCAAGCCAAACGGGGGGTTGCCTATCCAAGTGGTAGAAACCCAGTCACCAATACCACAGAAGCAGCCTTTGCTCAAAATCAAACGACTCAAGCCGGATTCAGAGTAGTACAGATAGAGGGTGTCTCTGGCGATATTCTTCGCGATATTCTTCACCATGCAAAAAGTTTGACTCCTTTTCCAAGAGGTTCCGCAAATGCCGTGAGAGCTGGAAGTAGCCAGTATCTGGCTAATGCTCCAATACTCCAAGAAACAACGAGACAGACTGCCCACCCACGAAGTGGTTCCAGTCTTTTATAAGATGAAGCCCTTGGACCGCCAGCTGCATACAATGTGCTTGGCCCAAACACCACAAATTTTGATGAGAGTGGAACTTCCAGGCCGACAAGTCCAGAAGATGAGGCCGACACGGAACCACAGGGGCGTGGCGTAGTCGAACAAGACCCTAGCAACGGCAGACTTGTAGTGGCAGAACCCGTAACAGATGGTGATATTGAATGGGCCCAGCCTGTGTCACCCGAGCAGAAAGAAATTGAAAGAGCCAGAGAGGCCAAGAACGCAAGGAAACAAACTTTATGACTGCCACTCTAATGGCCATCGCTTTCATTGCACTTTTGGTTATCATCCTTGTCATGAAAGTTGAAAATGATGACAGCCCCACAGTCATCATTAACTCCCCAACCCAACAGAAAATAGTAATGCTGTGGCTGGAAACGCTTCTATTCCCTTGAGTCCCGAAGAAGTCTTGACTGGATTGCTCCCTAACTAATGATACTCTTTCCAACCTGGAATTTGATTATACCCCTCAGGCCATGGCATTCAGCGGAGCTGTGTAACCTCGGCAGAAAGGTTTCAGTGTAGAAGCAGATACCACTATAGCTAGCTAGCTAGAAGCAGATACCTGTAGTGCTTAGCTAGTGCTTAAATTGCGCTTAGCTAGGTAGAAGCAGATCCCCCCTAGCTAGAAGCAGATTCCGATAGCAAGCTAGAAGCAGATACCCCTAGCTAGCTAGAATACTAGTCATATAGCTTTCACTAGCTTTAGTGTTTTTTCTGGTAGGAGCCCCCCTACTAGGATGCATGTAAATAGCTTTAGCTGGTTTATAAGCACCATCCTAGGATACTTAGAGTGATCTGGGCTTTAAGACCGACCGTTTCGCGCAATATTCTCTTCAGAGGTGGATATCTTATACTGTACTTTTAAGGGGTGGAATCGATAGAGCACATGTTGCTGAGTAAGCCAAAAAATTCCCAACTCCATGTGACACATATTGAAGGAGTTAGGAGTGGTTGAAGATATGCAGTCAACGGTCATCGAATTCTTTTCCCTGCAGATTAAGACCGAATGACGTCACACGTAGCCTCTAGTACTGAGTCTACGTAGGAACCGACGTGACGTCACACGTAGCCTCTAGTACTCACCATACCAGCACCTCCACGGTCGTGAAGCACCTCTATTGAAGCATTGAAGCCCATGGGAAGCACCTCTATGGGTACGACTGTAGAGGTATCCTATCCCAGCACCTCTACTGGTATCGAAGCACCTCTATCGACTGCATGTACCGGTCTACTAGTACTAGCCAGGTCTTACTGTAGTAGTACTATAGCAATTACTGTACAATCCCAAGAATATTACGTGGGCCTTAATGCTCTGCAGGTCTTAATACCCAGATCACTCTATTTAGTTTTTGCTGACTTATTTGTATTCTAACCCTACCCTTATACCTGCAGGGACCACTGTAGCAGGAAAAACACTTTAAGCCAGCGGAGCTGTGTAACCTCGGCAGAACGAGAAGCAGATACCCCTATTAGCTAGATAGCTAGAAGCAGATACCTGTAGTGCTTAGCTAGTGCTTAACTTGCGCTTAAATAGCTAGAAGCAGATCCACTAGCTAGAAGCAGATTCCCATAGCAAGCTAGAAGCAGATACCCCAAGCTAGCTAGAATACTAGTTATATAGCTTTTTCTAGCTTTAGAGTTTTTCGTGGTGGAAGCAGATCCCCTTACTAGAATGCATGTAAATAGCTTTAGCTGGTTTAAAAGCACCATCCTAGGATACTTATTTAGTTTTGCTGACTTATTTGTATTCTAACCCTACCCTTATACCTGCAGGGACCACCGTAGCAGGAAAAACAATTAAAGGGGTTGAGGGCTCTGGCAGCAAGACTGCCGAGGTAAAGGGGTTGATGGCTCTGGCAGCAAGACTGTCGAGGTTAATGATACTCTTCCCAACCTGGAATCTGATTATACCCCTCAGGCCATGGCATTCAAATGGGTCACAAAGGACCCTAATTTTGACAGCTATTCTGACAAGCGGTTGCAACAGCGTTTTGTTTTGGTTACATTCTACTACAGCTCCAATGGTGATGGGGATGGTTGGGGTAACAAAACAAACTGGCTCAACATGTCAGTTCACGAATGTCAATGGGATTTCATCATGCCAGACAACCTGCAGTAGCACGCTAATCATGGGAATCGATATGATGAATACAAGTACATTGATGGCCCATGTGTACCCAGCAATGCAAGCATGGTGGTCAACAACAGCACTGTGATTGATGTTGCCTACCATGATGATTTCCTCTACTTGGCCTTGGTTGGCCAGGAGCTCGATGGTTCCATCCCACCAGAGATCACCATGTTGACATCTCTAAAAATGATCCAGTTTGATTCCACAACAATGGAAGGTCCCTTTCCCACCATCCTGGCCAACCTCACAGGCCTACGGGAACTACACATCTACGATACTGCCTTTACCGGAACCATTCCAACCGAGCTTGCCCTACTTAGCGAACTGCGAACTTTGAATATTGGGGGTACAACGGAGATTTGGGGTACCTTGCCTTCTGAGTTTGGCTTGCTTTCTAACCTCAAAGTGCTAAATATTGCCGAAACCAATATTTCCGGAACTATTCCAATGGAATACACTCATTTGTCCCCATGGATATTTCGGATCTTCCGAAATTCCCTTACTGGCACTATCCACACAGAGTTTGGGCTGTTCTCCGATGTTGAGTGGTTCTTCATTGAACAAAATGACCTGGTAAGAGCTACAACACAGATTTCTGTTTGTTTCATTCAAGCAATGTCACCCCCTGACAGGATTTTTCCTCCATATCGATTGTGTTTTGTCATGTAGACTGGCACTGTCCCCATGCAGTGAGCTTGGATTGATGAGCAGCATGCAAATTATTTATGCATACGAGATGAGTCTGAGTGGCACCATTCCAACTGAATTGGGATTGCTAGTGAACCTTGAACAGATCTATTTGCAAACAAATTCCTTGACTGGAACGTACGTTTGTCACTGCTTCAGTCTGCCTGTCAACTATACTGAAAGTTGAAACTAATGGCTTGCATTATTTTTGTTCTCAGCATCCCCACAGAGCTGGGCATCCCCACTGAAAACTTCTGGAGACTTGCTGTCAGCAGGAATCTTTTGGTACATAGTAAAAATCCTATTGCAGGTTGCATTGAAGTCTTTTGACTGACTGTCCTCAATTGATCTGCCTTGTTCCATCCTCAACAGAGTGGTACGGTTCCCAGTGAGCTAGGACTTCTCACAAAGTGCCACAACTTGGCAACCCAAGCCAATCTGCTCACTTCGACAATTCCGACAGAGGTTGCTGCCCTGCCAGCAATGGAGTACTTTTCCAATTCGGACAACATGTATTCTGGAATTTTCCCCATGGAGCTCTTTTTCAGTGGCAGCAAAATGGTCCGTTTCTGGTTTGAGAACAATGAAATCTCCGGAACTATCCCAACAGAAATCGGCTATTGGACTAGCTTGTGGAACTTTCGACTTGATGGAAATTGGATTACCGGCAAAATTCCATCAGAAGTTGGTACCCTGGAATCAAGGCTTGAATACTTCAATGCTGGCTCAAACCAGTTATTTGGGGAGATCCCATCTGAGATTGGGAATCTGCTCAAGCTCAAAGAGTGCTCTGTTGGCGACAATGGCTTGACTGGGACTCTGCCAAAGGAGCTAGGGTTCCTTGTAACCCATGGGACCTTGAAGCACCTTAACATTTCCAATAATGATGGGCTGTTTGGAACCATCGGATCTGAGCTTTGTGCGTTGACCGCTGACCCTGTTTTGAGTAATGCTCTGGATTTCACTTGTGGGGATGTTTGTGGGTGTGATTGCCCTTGTGACAATGCATCGTCACTTGTATTGTATGGTCAAAATGGTACAGTCCTGGCAGAAATGAAGAGTTAGTCATCCAATGGAGTATGATTGAAGGGTCCAAGTTCTATTCTGTGGTGGGCTGTGGAGTGTGGAGGGAAACCAAAGAGCACTAAAAATAAAAATATAAATGTACTTCATGTTTCAATGCAGCTTTGGATGTCACATCGTTCAAACTCGTAGAGGGCTCATGCCTTGGGCAGCCTGAATTTTAGTTCCTCGATGTATGCATACCCTTCTCCTTCTTTTGTGTGTAAAGCTTATAGCAACGCCTCCAGTGCCAGAGATCGAGTTCTCCGACGTGTTGATCTTTACAGCTTGGGCCGCTTATGTTTGTTTGCTGATGGACGAGGATGGCGAAATTGCTTTGCTAGCTAGTAGGAGGCATGTGGTTTCGTGAATCCGTTACGACGATCGAGGTATATTCGGTTTGTGAGTGCATTGGGTACCTGGTAACAATACAGAACGAGGCCCGCATTCAGCATTATGCGTCATACGGTAGGGAGACGCGGGAGATGCCTTTGTCATTTTCCAGGCCGCTGTCGATCCTCGCAGTTGGACGTGCCATATCGAATTTCCCGCGAAGCACATCCCACTCGACTCGACTCGTTCTTCGTCTTTTGCGAGCGTTACAGCCTCGCTGCACGCATCCAGCGGCCCTCACTTATACATACATGTACATGTAGAGTTCTGAAAAGTGCTCTAGCTAGCTAGTTGACCCAACCTAACCTCAACTGACCCCACCTGACCAGCCTTCGATACGGGTAGCAGCCATGGCGCCACCGTAGCCTGCAGCACTGGCAACTCGACTCAGCTCGGACTTACAGTACAAGCAGAGCCAGCAGTCCGGTTGTCGGTGAAGCAAAGGTTTATCTCAGACGATGTTAATGTTAACAGCTTTAGCCGCTTAAAAGAAGATACAGATTGTATGGTCCAAATCCCACGATCTTTTCGTCTTCAAAAGGCCTCATAACGTCATTGGCAGATGGGCTGTCAAACCCTCACAGCCAGAAGAACCATCCCCCTCATTTATTCATGATTCATCGAGCAAAGTCAACGTTTACTATAGCTACTAGCTAGCAGCTAATTAGAGAACTCCCCTCCTAGCTAGCTAGTCAACACTACTACCAAAATGCTGCACTATCCTTCGCTATGGTTGTTCCTGGTGTGTCTGTGTTTGTTCACCACACCCTGGTTGGTCCATGCCAGCACTGCCGCTAGTAGTAGTAATAATGCTATTTCCAAAATTGGTCGAGGCGGTGCCAAACGGCATGCGAAAGGCCCCATGGCGACGTTTGTCCAGACCGTGATGGACGCCCGAAGACACTTGGTGGCGGCCGCCGTGGCTCGATCGACGTCCATCTTTGCCATGTACCCTGTGGATACCATCAAGACACGCATTCAAATGGATCAACCCAATCCCTTTCGATTGCAGGGAATGTACAAGGGAGTCGATGGATCCTTGTTGGGGCAGGTACCCTATGGGTGAGTAGTTACATACATGTAGCAATTTGCAGATGAGAAGGCGTCATTCAATCATTCATTCATTCTGACTCTTTTTTCTTCTCGTTTTGTTTGTACTGTAGTGTCCTCACATTTGGCTCGTACGAAGTCTACAAGAATGCGTTATTGGAACGCTTCCCCAATACTCGTCCCATTTTTCTGTACGCCCTCTCGGCCATTCTGGGCGATCTGACCGGATCCGGGATTCTCTGTCCCTCCGAAGTCATTAAACAACAAATGCAGGCAGGCATGTATTCTTCCACCACCGAAGCATTTACTCAAATTGTCAAAACCAAAGGCATTGGCGGATTATACCAAGGATACCTCGGAGGTTTGACCCGAGATGTTCCCTTTCGTGTCGCACAATTGACCACTTACGAAGTCACCAAGAATGCCTATCTCAAATTCAAACACTTCAAATTACAACAACAATCATCAACCAAAACATCCAAATCAACTTCATCCGCCTCCTCATTGGAATTAAGTCCGGTTGAAGCGGCATTGTGTGGTGCCGTCGCGGGAACCTTTTCGGCCGGAATTACGGCGCCCTTGGATCGTATCAAAACCTTGCTCATGACCGATAGTAATGCGTATGGTGGTACGGTTGCGTCTTGTGCCGCCAAGATTTGGAGAGAGGAAGGCATTCCAGGATTTGCCACCGGAGTCGTACCACGGGTCACCTACATTGCTCCGTCCGTTGTCATTTTCTTTATTGCCTACGAACAGGTACAACAACGATTGAAACATCGTTGGACCACAACACCGACGGTAGCAGGGACACGAAAGAAGTAAAACAAGCAGAAGCAATCAATGCAAATAAATAAATAAACTACCGGGTACCAAAAGAATCGCCTAAAAGGGGCGTATCGTAGCTTCCCCATGGGTCCCATCGTACCGTACGGTAGGCTAGCTCCCGTGACAGCGAGTACATTTCTAGAATTAGTGTTGGTCGTACAAAAAGTTGGGCAGCCCCCGATGCGACCGCAGTTGCAATCAGAGTACCACAGAGATGAATGGGTCGTGGAGGTTTCAGCGTCCGTCGAGGGCTACCCTCTTTTGCTGAGACAGTCATTGCTCTGGCTGGCTTGGCTCTACGACAATAAGGTCATCACGATGAGTCCAGTCTATGGACTTCAGCTCAAGGCACAAAGCTCAAAAATAACTATGGACAAACTCTGGAGCTTAGCTAGTCGATGGTTTCGTCGGTACGGTACACCACATCGTTGAGCTATCTTCTAGGCTTTACTCTCTCTACTTTCTCTTGCGAATTTTGGCTAGAAAGAACCCTCCTCCAGTATAATTCGTTGTGATGGTGGCTGTACCTCCGGATTCGTTTGGTGGTGGCAAGCATGGCTCAAATCTAACACCCAAGGGACCTGTGGATACTCGAGGACCCATCAACGTATTGTCTCCCGATTCTCCCTCTGCTGCACCCCCAACAGAGAACTCCACCGGTATCAACTCTGCCTTATCGGCAAACGTCTCTAGCATCCAGGCCACCACATTTTCATTTTGATCTTTTGACAAGGAACACGTGGAATATACCATGGTTCCGCCAGGCTTGAGGAGCCGAAATCCCGTGGCTGCCAACTGTTTTTGCAGTTCTACCAGTTTGGAGAGTTCCGCGGCATTTGTCAACATGGGTGCCACTGCACCACCATTCACTGCTGCGTTGATTTGTTTGGCAATATGTTTGAGGGATCCATCAGTGCTGCATTCGGCATCCACCAGGACACGGTCAAACAGTTTGGCTTTCCAGGGGTGCTGCTGTTTTGAGGATGTATCTTCTTTTCTTGGTACAGCAGGATCCTCCTCCTTCTGGTGGTTGTTATTGTCGGCAGATGGCAAGGGCTGATGTCGATCACCGCCACAATCAAAATCCACAGTAACCAGAGATTTTAGGCGCTTTCGTTCCCTAGCACGGGCGCTTTTGTTCATGCGCTTGCGTTTTCCACCAGTTTCTTCCAAGGCCGACTGAGAATCAAAGACGAGTTTTGGGAGCAGTTGATTGTGGTTGTAAGGCTGGTCAAAGGTTGTTCCGTCGGCGCAATAGAGTCTCATTTGGATTTTTTGTTCTCTCATGTGACTGGATTGTTGCTTTTGTGTAGAAATTTCTGTAGTGGCCTCGTCAGGTTGTTGCTTGATTGGTAAATGATACTTTTGTAGAATCTTTTTGCAAGTGGCAATTCGATGTTCCGATACATCCACACCCACTACGATAGTGGAACTTGGTTGCAGTGTTGCCTGTGGAAGATAGTCGGCGATGGCACATAATTTGAGGCCCGGAGCACAACACAGATCCAGTACACGAAATGGCTCTTGTCTGGTTGTCATATGGTTGCTGTTTGCTTCAACTGTTCTGTTCTTATCGTATCTATCCGACAGCAGCGCCCCTATGGCAGCTCCTGAGCTCACATCCATCCCGTAAATGCGACCCTCCTGATAACATGGGGACTGCACCAACCGGAAATTTCCTGGTAGTACATAAAATCCAAGCTTGTCGTCTAACCATGGAATTGGGACAGGATCACATGACGCAACATCTGAAGATGAAGCAAGTTCCTCCTGAAACATGGAGCCAAAATTGAGTAAGCGAACCTTCTTGCTGTTGCATTGCATCACTCACATTGAAAGAGAACACACCTTGAGACGCCTTAGTGTTTCCTCTCGGTCGAACCGGGGATTCAATCGAACAAAGCGAGAAGCAAACGTGGCATTCCCATCGCTGGTGGCACGGGCTTTATCATTCTGGCTCTTGTGGTCAACCAAGCGATCAATGTCAAGGCCATGCGTCGCGTAGAAGCTTCTCAAGTCATCCGAAATCAGAGAGGAAGAGGTGTTGCTGTCCTCTGTTGCACAAGTGGTGGTCTTCTTGTCCATGCTCGACCATCAACCAGTTCTGTTTGAGAGGAGGTTGGAGGTTTGACGTTTGAGGAGAGTGGAGGTGAACGTTTTGGCTTTTGGCTGTCCTCGAATCTATTCCTGTTAAACCTTTGAAACGTTGGAAAAGCATTATAACTAGTAAGAAGCTAACTTTCGAGAAGGCGGGAAGCGGGAACCATTCGCGCACAGCGATGGCAAAGTTCAAGCATACCGGCAAGCCTCCGGCAAAGCCAAGAATCAAAGATACTGGACAGCCATCACGCCATCACAAAGCACACCTCCACCTTTCTAATACCAATCCCATACACCATTACCTGTCTAGCTACCTAGCACTGTGCTAGCTCCATCCAAGTGCCTCTTGACAGCTCGGAACTTACTAAAGAAGGAGAAGATGACATCGTGGCCATGGATGAAGGGAATTTCCGAGGCGATTGCCGACCCCATCGATCCTGTTTGTCCCGAAGATGATCGCCCATCGGTGAAGGCATTGATCAAAGAGCATGGCGAAAAGATTGCAAAAATCAAGGCAGCATTGGTGGACGATCCACTCTATGAAGAATCCAAGCACGATGATTTGTGGATTATGAGGTTCTGGATGTCCCACAAAAAGAGCCAAGTTGCCATTGATGCCGCCAAGCACAGTTTGGCATTCCGCAAGGAACACAAGTTGGACGAACAAGATATTCGGGAAGTCCCAACCCAAAATGTCAAGGATGGCAAGATCCGAGAGTTTCTGGATCTGTGGGAAGAAGATGCCATGGCATTCACACATCCTCATCCCAAACGAGGTGTCATTGCCTTTTTGAAGTTTGCTGCCATGAACCAACACACCGCTGTAGAAACTCTCACAGAGGACTACTGGCTGCCCTTGTTTGTGTACTGCACAGAATGGACCCACCAATGGCTTGATTACGTGACAAGGACAACGGGGCGTCTTACCAAATCCGTCAGGTATGTATGCAGAGTTATGATTGATTTGATCTGTCCTGTCATTTGTTGATTTCCCCTGGCTGGCTAGCATTTTGCACTTGTTGGTTGCTCATGTCCATGTTGCTATTTGCTATGGTACCGTATATGCAGGATTGCCAATTTGGATGGTGTTGGTATGAGCAGTATGAGTCGAGAATACATGAAGAGAACTGGGAAAGTTTTGGGCATGATGGAAGATTGTTATCCTCAGTTGTTGGAAAGTCTCTTTGCCTGTAACCCACCCACCGTACGTACTGGTCGGGGTCTTGCTGGCTTGTTCTGGCCTTATTTGTACCACGGTACTGTCTATATCTCATGTCATTTGCTTATTGCTCGATCAACAAATAAATAAACGACAATATACTACAGATTATTGATACCTTGTGGAGTCTTATCAGTGTCGTTCTTCCCAAGCGCATTATTAACAAGTTCTGCATCATGCATCCCAAGGAGAATCTCAAGGACCGGGCCAGGCTGTACAAGCACATCTCGGAAGAAGACTTGCCAGACATGTTCGGGGGCAATAATCCCATCGGGCCTCAAGATTGGGCAGCACCCAAAGTAGTGGTACACAATGCACTGACAGGCATTGAGGATGAGGTGGAAGTCTAGCTACCGGTATTAGGCATGTATGGATGGCCAAGCAACGTTATCTGCAATGTTATCTGAATGCGTACATATCCAGCAGATTACAAGCTGTAGCCACCATGCACTATTTTAAGGTTCACTAATTGTTAGACGCTCTTAAGTCTTCGTTGCCGATTGTTAAAGCTTCACGTGAACCCACCAATTTCTGGGTGTGGCCATGATCAAAAAGGATGACGACACGACCACACAGAGGTCGCCAATGTCAACATTGCAAGGATATGGCAGCTAGCATGCGCTGGCGTAACAGCACAGCATTGGAACAGAACAGCAAGGAGTCAATGATCTGACAAACACACCGTTGCTACAGTTATCATCAGCCATTTTGGGTTCAAGACAATGGTGCCAGTTATTTCCAGGCTTCTACCGCTGCTCCTTTCTGCCTTGCTTCAGCGTCATGTCGCTGCGTGGACGGAACCAATTCCCAGGGTCGCTACTATAGCATCCTCAAAGTCCCAACTGCAAGCCGCCAAGTTCAATCCTAATGACGACACGGAAGAAATTCAAACTCGTCGAGGTGCCCTGACTTTGATGGCGAGTAGCGCTCTGCTCTGGAGCGGCGGAATGGCCACCAATGCCAATGCGTATGAAAAAACCTTCCCCGTGGAATTGGACACACTGGATGCCGATCCTCGAACGCCTCGAGAACGAGCCTTGCAACAACAGAAACCCAAAGCGCCACTTGCCGACCCCATTGATTTGGGACTCGGTGCCGTGCTCTGGGGTGGAGCTCTTTGGCTATTGACGGGATCTCGATCCAATCCACTGGCCACACCCTTGGCCAATGTCTTGTATTCTCCCGACAAAGAAGAATGGTTGCAAGATCGCAATGAAGGACTTTTTGCGGCATTGCCAGCACCCCTCTTGGCATTGTTGGGAATCGTCTTTTGCGCTCTGGGATTGGCAATCCATTTTGTGATCATTCAATTGGCTGATGGATCCGTGAATATTAGTCTAGAACTGGCAGGAGTATTATTGATTGGTGGTGGCTCTTTGGAACTTGGACGAATTGCAAATGGGGAAAAGAGACTGACGAGGGGTGACTTTGATCGTGACACTCTGCTGGAACAGGAATTCCAAGAATTTGCCGAAAAGAGATTGCAACTCGGTGGCAATTGCCATCGAAGCGAGGTTGTGCAAGCCTTTCGACGGTATCATGCTAAGTACCGACAAGCCGACAATCCTGACTTTCCTTTGAATGATTTGGAAATTGAACAATTGTTGCGGCAATGGAATCGAAAGAATGCTGGAGCCCAGACCAGTGCGGCAGGATTCTATACCGGCATTCAAATCAATGCTGAAGCAGATGTTTTTGTCTAGCAATAGGGTTCCGCAGTACAGACCGACTCCGAGAGAACAATCTATAGTTAGAGAAAAGAGTGAATGATTGAGGCAGAACAAGGAGGAAGGCTGCCGATCTAGCTGCTGCCAGTCTCCAACGACCTGTTTGGAGCCGGAGGCCGGTTTTCTTTTGCTGACGCAGCACTCAGCCATGGCTCTGGCTCTCCGATAAAAGTCATAACGATTAGTCTATCATGAGAACTCGGGTCGTACCATGAGAAAGAAGGAATCTCAGCTATTGCTACATGTGCTGTGGAAGGCACGCAACCCAACGTCTCACAAGCTAGCTAGAGTTTTACTAGGGAAACAGCTCCGCACACGGACCGAAAGACTTTTGCTGGTTTTGCAGAAAGATAGATATAAAGGTGTTCATTCTTATAGAATTCTCTAGAATATAAAATACGTGTATGTATGGCATGCATCGGTGCACAGCCAGACAGGGAAGCCAGCTAGTAGCAATTATCGCCCCAACCATCCTCTTGTGATCTTTTGAAACAAGGTCTGCTTCTTCCTGGGTTCTGAGACTGCTTCCTTGATGATCTCCATACCGGACTTGTCATTAGACAGAGTGATCAATCCAAGATCAATGCACTGCTGGCGTGAGAAAGTTCCCGTACTCTTGGTTGTGGGGTCAAAGAAGATGATGTAAGGTACCTCGTCATTCTTGTTTGCAGAAGCAGCAGGAGGCTTTTGGCTTGGTTTCGGAGCAGGAGTGTAGGGGTCCGTAACAACCGGAGCAGGACTCTTTTGGCTTGGTTTCGGAGCAGGAGTGTAGGGGTCCGTAACAACCGGAGCAGGACTCTTTTGGCTTGGTTTCGGAGCAGGAGTGTAGGGGTCCATAACAACGGGCAGGCTCTTTGTCTCCAAAGATTAGTTGCCTTGGGAGCCCCACCAGCAGAAGATGGGGGGCTCCAGCCAAACACGGCTGGTCGGCAGTATTTGTAAGAGGTTCTCCTACTGGTTTCTTGGGTTGAGTAGTCTGCAAAGGCAAGGGGGCATTGCTGGGCATGGGTTCGGCAGCTGCTTGCAAGGAAGGAGAAGTGGAAGTTGGAGGTTTGGAAGGAGTTGTTTCCAGGCTATCCCGAGGCTGAGCCACTGGGTTTGACTGTGTTGGCTGAGGAAGGTTTGCAGCTAAGGGATTTTGGGAAGAAGGTGGCTTCAAAGATGGGTCGCTTTGCTTTGGCTGAGCCGGAGCCTTTGTTAGTGGGGACTTCTTGGCAGCTTGCGGCTTTGAGGCAGGGTCATCCTGTTTGGTGGGAACTGGCTTTGACCCAACACCCTTCGACTTCATCGTTGGTGTCTTTTCGGGCTGGGCCGCATCTTCAGTTGTCTTGGGCTGTACAGGCTTCGATGATGCAGATGGCTGCGGACTGCATTCGTTGGGTTTGCCACCAGTGCCGTTCTTGGCGGGGACGGGCGAAGCAGTGTTCTTTCCCCCGGACGGTGCCACCATCCCGGGAGAACTAAGGGAACGCTTTGGCAGGGTTTTGCGTTTTTTGCCTGCCTTGCCAGCCCTCACGGTGGCAATTGCATCCATGGCGTTTTCAGATGGGATCGACTTCGACCGAGCTAGGCTTTTTTTCTTGGGCCTGACAACCGGCTGTGGTTGAATTTCCTCCTCAGCCTCGACTTCCTTTTCCATGGCCTCGGCCTCGCCCTCGGCCTTCTTTTTGAGTGCTGCAACTTTTGCCTTCTTTGCTTTCTTCGCGTTCTTCGTTTTCTTCGTTTTCTTTACGTTCTTCTTGTTTTCTTTACTCTCTTCTTGGTCGACTTTCTTCTTGGTGGGCAATGGTTTTTCTTCTGTTCCTGGGGACAACGGTTTTTCTTCTGCCTTTGGGGATCCAACCGGGGCCTTCTTCTTTTTGGTCGTTGTCACCTTTTTCTTCTTGAGAGCTGGCTTCTTCTTCTTCTTCGTTTTCATCTTCTTAGATCCTTCCTTGACAGGTAGGACTTGAGCAGGTACGGGCTCCTTCTTGGCCGCTTCCATTTTGGCTCTCATAGTGGCGGCTCTCTCCCTCCTCTTTACGCTGCTGCTAGGGGGCTTCAGGTCTGTAGAACCTTCGTCTCCTTCTTCTCCAAATTCAAAGTCAGATCCTTCCGATTCCGAGTCTGAATCAGAGTCCGAGTCTGATTCCGAGCCGGAGTCTGAATCAGAGTCCGAGTCCGAGTCTGAATCGGAGTCCGAGTCGGAGCCCGAGGAGTCAGATTCTTCCTCGTATGATGAGTTTGTCTCGTCTTCAGTCCGCTCGGTCTGGTCAGGCTTGCTGCTGCTGCTTGTGCTGCTATGATTCGACGAGTTCGACTTGAGGCTGTGGAGAGAGTCACTGAGGCGCAGGTTTGGGCTTTCTGCAATGATCTTCTGATCCCCTGCAAACACCCGAGCCTTGATCATGACTTTCATCAATCCCAGGTCGGCCATGACATCGCAGAGCGACTGGATCTGCTTTTGATAGTACGTGATGGCGTCCACGATCTGGCGATCCACCACCTGCTGAAGCACAGTTTTCAAGTCTTGCAGATGACGAGCCTGCTTCATGATGTGGCCGTAGACTTCAAAGCCATCTCGGACGAGCACGGCTCCCATTTGGAACTTGTCGTAGCCGCAAGCCTTGGACTCTGCAAATGAACCTGGAAGCATCTTCTTGAGGCGCTGTTCACAATCCACACATTCCTCCTTGAGACGGTTGACAGCATTCATGGCACGGACGCCCACATTCTTGTCCACCTGAAGGGACCCGTCATCCACGCATGCTTGGACCTTGGCAACCGCTTTGTTGAAGGTAGCCATCCGGAGGAGGACAGACTTGTCCGTTTCAGTTGCCTTGTTGATCCCGTCCTGGTCCAAAAAGAACTCCAAACGTTTCAAGAAACTTGTCTGCCATCTGTTGAATTGATCCTTGTGCTCCGGTGCCAGGATGCTATCCAAGTCCCCAAGAAGGGACTGAAGCTCTTCGTCAGCGGCAATGGGGTTGGCTTTCACAGAGAGCTGAGAGCCTCGGCGGTTGAATCCACGGTTTCCAGATTGAATCATAGTGAAGATTGTGGTTTGAAAGGGTTTGCCCGTAGAGAAGGTTGTTTTTAGAGGAGTTGTTTTGGGTTGCTCGAAGCAAAAATTGTGAGCTCGTCAACTGCTGAAGTGAGGTTGGGTCAAAGCGATAATAGACTTACTTGGAAGATCTCTTGGAAGATACTGGCTTCCGGTACGATGCTGCGGATTCCGAACGAGGAGCCTTCTTTTAGCTACCAAATCCCCAACGCATACCCATAGTGATCTAGTCAGTGTTCCTGTGTTCATTGAAGCCTTGATTGCCAGATCAAATCCCGTCTAGTGTTGCCTAATTCCAGTGGTGTTTGTAAGACGCTTGCTACAGTAGCGCCAATGAGAGCTAGCTAGCTAGCTAGCTAGCTAGCTAGCTAGAGCTCTCTAGTAGTAGAGGTTAGACCCAATAGCATTGGTTTGTGAGCTAAAAGACTCTCGACACTCCAGTAACTTTCCCCTGTACCGGTACCGGTACGATGTAGGCCTTCAACCCCACTCGTAAAACCTCTAAACTCCCTAATTCTACTAATGTCTCCAACAGTCACAAGCTGCTTCCGTGACCTTCTAAGCCGCTGAAGCCTCCTCGAGTACTGCTGACCATCGAGATTTAAGATAGTCACTCCACCGCCTAATGACCGTAATAATCTGGATTACTCCAGCATGCTGGTTCCATGATGCTCATGCCGCCGCGACCTTCTTGTTACGTACGCGATGTACCTCTCTCATAATTCTGTGATGTCGACGTTGCGGGATGACTAAAGATTTAACACCACTGTAATAATTTTACTGTAGCTCAATTTTTGAAGGCGCATGCTGGCTAGCTGCGATCTAACTAAGTCTTGTACTAGTACTTTTAACTTACTGTAAGCTATGTACTGTACAGCTACTTCACCCCTGTCATAATGGCGACTCTTAATTCGACATTGCGGGTTGCGGGATGACTAAAGATTTATTTCGCTACAGTGCGATTGGAAGTCTTTGGAAGTTTGCATGTCAGTTTTACGACTGAGGTCAATCGACACTCGACTCAATTTATGTTCGACATTGTTCCTTTGTCTTCCGCTTCTGAACCTATTTTCAGCTGTATTCGTACAACTATTCGTGCCAGTGCGACTGTACGAGTAAGTAGTAAGGTACGTGTCCACCTGTCTACGTATCCACTCCCCACCACTAGCTAGCTAGCTACCGGTAGAGCTAGAAAGATACTCGAGTACATGTACATGTACATGTAGATGTCACTTTGAGTTTTGAGCACTCCTCATCACCTCCGAGGAAGCTGATCGCAGGAATGCCTTGAGACTGATGTTTGCACATGCAGGCACTCCAGGCACACCATACAATACTCGCAATACCGGTACCGGTGGCCTGGCGGAAAAACGAACGCGCTGTGGCATCATCTCCAAGTGATGTATGCCTTGCACCTTGGCGTAATTTGATCACACTTGGTTGCAGGCAGCCCGCCGCTCCATCCAGAACCTCCTATCTTTCAACATCAGCCAGCCCCAAAACCGAAGCCCATTACGACCAAGCTTGCCTAGCAAGTAGCTAGTAGCAACTATCTAGTATACGATGCTCATCGCTCAACACAATGCCTCTCGTAGTTCGCTCGCGGGGCAAACATTGTACTCTTGACTTGGCTGCTATGCAAAGCTTTCGTCGCTGACTGGAGACTGGGACACCTCTTTCCATGCGCGAAACTACATGTATAATCAGACCATTAGCAGTGCGTGCTTGGTACCACCCCAGTACGGAGCGCCCATTGAAGCCCAGGTCGGTCGTCATTCCTACGGACGAACGAAGCGTAGTGCGCCCGAACAAAGTTTGCAGCCGAAGCGGAGAGTGTGTCCCCTCCGACTGGTGCCTCATTGACAAGGCAAAATGGGTAATCAACACTAGGTGGAGATTGGCACTTTCAGGCCACACAAAGTACAATGGTGGGCTGGGGCGCTTGATTGAAAGAGTCTTTTCTTTCCTAGAATTTGCCTCGTATCTTTCAACATCGGCGCCAAAACCGCAGCCCTCACGACCAAGCTTGCCTAGTACGGTACGGTAGCTCGTAGCAACTATCTAGTGGATACGCAGCCCATCGCTCAACACAATGCCTCTCGTAGTTCGCGGAGCAAACATCGAACTCTAACTGGGCCGCCTGATAGCTATGCAAAACTTCCGTCGCTGTTGTTGGACACCTCTTTCCATGCGCAAAATTAATTATAACCAGAGCATTGGCAGTGCGTGCTTGGTCCGGTATACCCCAGTACGGAGGGCCCATTGAAGCCCAGGTCTGTTGCTTGCTTTTCATTCCTACATGTACGGACGAACAAAGCGTGGTGCACAAGAACAAAGTTGGCAAAACCAACGCGGAGAATCAACGCTAGCTAGGCGGAGATTGGCACTTTCAGTCCACTCAAAGTACATTGGGGGGCTGCGACGATTGATTCAATGAGTCTTTTTCCCCTAAAATTTGTGCGTAGTAGTCTACATTAGTCCGTTGTTGCAACAAGGGGGGTAAATGAATAAAAAATACAGCATGGTCGTCGTCGCTTCGTCGTGGTTGATCAGATATTTGTCGTCGGCTGTAGTATGGACCAAAAAGGAGGAACATCCCACACGCAAAAGAAAAGTAGCAACGCGGTGGTAGCCAGTAACAGTGCTCTTGCTTTTGCTCTTTTGGTGTGTGGAAGTAGTAGTAGTCATTTTCTGGAAAAGAAACTTCCCAAGGATATTCCTTTCTTGGCGGGTTGTGGGCTGGGGAGTGGTGGTGGACTCGCGGGGGGGACATCGTGGCTGCCATGAGACTTTCTTCGTGCGCCCCGGTTCGGTCGTAGCAATGCCGCAAATCCTCCAATGGGTGGTTCCAACAACAACTTGTTTTTGGAGGGTGATGTGGGCGGACTTGTTGCTGCGGAAATGAATTGTGTCGATCCTTCGGGACTACTACAGGTTTGTTGTTGTTCTTGATGATGATGATGATTGTTGTGTTTTGTGGATTGGTCCAGTACTTCCTGGAGTGTTTGCAGAATGACATCGAAATCCGGTCGTGACGTAGGAACTGGATTCCAGCATCGTTTCATGAGCCACTGTAGATTCATGGGCCAGTGTTTGTCCATGTGAGGCCGTTCTCCTCCCATGACGACCAGTGACATGTGCTTTCCACTGCTGTATCCATAGAATGGTTTTTCTCCCGACAGTAATTCATGAAGCAAAATCCCAAAGGAGTATACATCGACACTTTGATTGTAGGGCAATTCCTTGGCGACTTCGGGTGCCATATACCGCCTGGAGCCCGTATTTCCCGTGAGCTGGTATCGTCCATCGGCATGTGATTCGTTGGGTTTGAGTTCCTTGGCCAATCCAAAATCAAACAACTTGAGTGTCCCATCTTTGTCAAAACCAATGTTGTCGGGCTTATTCATTCGTACGTAATAATGATCAAGCAATGCAATGATTGAATAATACCATAGACAAGCAAGCAAGGAACAACCAAGAGCTGTTTAGGAGAGGACGATACAGTGACGTGACGAGACATGCACTCTCGGTACAGTACGGTACATACCTTTAGATCTCGAAAGACCACACGTTTTTGATGCAAGAACTGCACGGCAGTGGCAATATCAATGGCAATTTGCAGTCGCTGTTGGAATTGTTCTTTTTTGTGTTGCTTTTGTTCGGCACTCATGAGCAATGCTGCAAAGAGTGGTTCCTTTTTTTGATCGTGTTGTTGTTTCCGCCATTCGTCCAGCTTTTGTTCCAAGGTGGAATAGAGACGATCCACCGTAATAAAGAATCCATAATTGTCGCAGTCTTGTTGTTGTTGTTGTTGTGCCATCATGACATTGGATGCCAAATTTCCCGCCTTGACGGCATGTAGATTGAGAATGTTGGGGTGACCCTTGAGGGCATGTAGAAAGTAGGCTTCTTGTGCCAGATCGGATGCACCGTGGGCAAACTGTTTTCGATTGGCCATGGTGCGTCGCTTCAAGAATTTAATGGCCAGTGGTTTGGGATCTTCTTCTTGATTGCCTTGTTGTTTGACGGTACATGCCTTGACGACACAGAATCCTCCTTCGCCCAATTTAGTATCGGTAATGGTCAAATCGTCCAGAGTCAACCTCTTGTCCAACGACATGCAGTCCTTGTTGGCAAAGAGCACGGAATTCTCTCGCAGCTTTTTCACAGCTGCCACGGCTGCCTTGCCGGCCAACATGGCACTGGCAGGACATACCTTGCCATACGCAGAGCACGAACACGTACACGAGGGTATACACTTTTGGATTTGTTCGTCATTCTCGGCAGAAGGATCCCAATAGCAGCAGTCCATCTCCTCGTCCTTGTCCTTGTCCTTCTCCTCTACTAACGTGGCTGCGGTATCATTTTCTACCAAATTGGGGGAAGAGTCGGGAGGAGCCACCATGGTCAATCTATCTATCAATCAATCAATGAATATTATGAGTTCTCGTTTTTCTTTTGTTCCGTGTTCTTTCCGGTTGTGTCCTCTTGCAGCGAGGATTGAAGCTCTGGGAATGCTGGCTGCTTGATAGCTTGCTACAGTAGAAGATAGGAAGGAAGGAAGGAGACAATCAGAAGGAATGGGAATAGGAGAAACAGAGTCCCAGGTACAAAGCACACGACAACAGCAGACAATTGCATCGATGGGATTCCTACCGGTATGGTACCGGTTAGCATGAGCGATTGCTCGGTGTCAGAATCCTTTGCAGGGTTCTCATCAGTTTCCAGTTTCGGATAATACCAGAATACATATCGGTAATATTCGGTTTTTGCTATTCGGTTGGATGTACTGGTATACATTTTATTTTAAATAACGAACTTAATGGAAATTTCCGTTTTCTGAGTTCGGAGGTACATTCGGATTTGTCCCATCCTAGTTCCGGTTCGTCCCGGTCCCACCTGTTCCAAGCTCCGAAAATGCTACAGTAGGAGCCGCAGCCATGAGCATGCACCCATGCACACAGAAGGAAAATGGAAGCATGCAATCAACATGCATAAGAGGCTCGATTTTAAAAGCCGCCTGGTACATCACGGCTTGACCATGGTACAGTCCAAGGATTCCTTGCTTCTACCGGTATCTACTGGCTCTAGCTAGTCGGCCTAGTGAATGGCTGCAGTTGACTTCACGACGATTGTTGATTGGGACGAAGCAACGACAGCCTTAGCCTCTGCCTGAGCATCACCTTCGACCACTAGAACTATGTAGGAAAACATGTGTTTGATTGATCGAGCAAAATAGGCTGCAAACTGTATCCAGGTTCCCTTGGGTCCTGTTAGATTCGATTCCGCAATGAATGAACGATTCAAGCAATCCATGCAAACTGATCCCAGAAGGAAAACACGTTGTGGTTCACTGGTATTCTTGACACTACACCGATGCTTGATTGCTTTCCAATCAGTTTGGCTGACAGCCATGAGCTTGGTCAAACTTTTGGTCCCTTGAAAAAGAGGGCGATTGAGATGTACTAATAAGGGAAGATTGAGCCCCGCATCACTTTGATTAATTAGTAGATGATTAGAAGATTTGTATCTACTAGAGATTGGATTCGGATATTTATGAGCCACAAAACTATCCTGCTTGGGCTTTCTCAGTCACCACCACATCCAGCCGCAGCACTGTAGATCAAACTTCTTCCCAGTCTCCGAAATGGTGGTTCTGCTTGGCTGTAATAAGCCTGCGTACGGCCAGTCACACTTGCTGCACAGTTAACACTCACACTGATCCCTCAAAGAGCAGCCACTCCTCGAAGCTCTCTGTGGTTCGAAAACAACGGAGCAACAAGATACCTACAGCAAGTAACCAGATACCTATAGCAAGGCAACCCCACTTTCGCATGAGAGGGAGAAGTTGAGCCTCATAAACAAACTAAGCTTCCCAAACAGAATCTCCTCTCAACGCATCCTTCTAAAGACACCGAAACAACACACACACACACACAACACAATGGGCTGCTCTATCTCCATCCTTGAACTGGAACAAAATGGCATCATTGCCGATATCCTTCCCACTGGGGAGTTCGTCCAAGTTGACTCTGGAAATACTGTCACGTTCTTTTGCCGACAGGAAGGCGCCACCCTACTGGATGGCTTTGACTATCCGGTCCCGAACGGTGTCTATCAGTATCACTGTCCCGAAGGCCTGGACGATTACACATTCAGCCATATTCAAGAGACGCTCCGCTGTCAAGGACCACCCACAGAATCACCAACTTCAGCACCTACCACAATAGCCCCAACTTCAGCACCTACGACCAGCTCGGCACCTTCTGTTGCCCCAACAACCGCTCATCCCACGACTCTTGCACCTTCTGCCATTCCTACAACTTTGGCACCGCACTCTGACAGGATTTCAACACCCTCAGGCTGCATTATCCCAGCCATGGCAGGCATTCAGGGTTTCCAGGCAGCTTCCAGTCCAGACCAAGTGGAGATTGTTCGATTCCCAATCAGTAAGAGTAATGGTTCCGAGTATTACACGCTTCACCCTCATGACACCATTATTTTTGCCTGCGAACAGGACAGCCAAAGGATGAAGATCAATGGGGAAGCATTGGAACCTCGCTCTGTGAACTTTTACCCCTACACATGCTTGGTAGATGGATGCGGGGAACAAGAAGCCAACATTGATCTTTCGCTAACTTGCGAAGACAGAGGCACATTGAGAAGACTTGGAAGCTCTCGTGTTGTCATGCATTAGTTAGAACAAACCATAGTTAGTCAAGAATTAGAAGTATTCATTATCGTAAATCACTTCTATAGAAGATTCATCTTGATCTTAAGATGCCCCAAAGAGAATCAGCTCCAAGACACTTCGAACTATAGGATTTAAACTGGACTATACTTTGCTGGTTTCTCGAGGAGGCTCTGTGACATTTTTCGAGGTGCCGATCGGGTGCTGTTCGATGTGCTGGTATGGCATGCAACATCGACCTTTTCGTTAGCAGTGTTAGTCCACTCGATTGAAACGTTACATGCATCTGGCGCTTTTTGGTCGCATGGACATCGATCTTTGCGTCCCGAAACCTTCATTTTTCGTGAATGTCGATGCAATTATAGATCTGAGCAACAAGCGCCAACCGAATGCAGTGTCGATAATCTCGAGTACGTACGTGGCGTTTCGAAATCCGTTGATCGAGCAACGAACAACTGCTCGCTACCGTATAGTTGTACATGTAGGAGAATCGTGCACTCAAAGAAAGCGACAAAGTGTGGAGAGGAATGTGCAAAGAAGAAAGTTGATTGCTCAGGTGTGGTTGCTCAGGTAGAGCAAGGGGCATTCCTCCAGTTTGAGAACATGCTATACAGAACCACAGAGCTGTTCCACCCAAAAACGCCTCCGCCAAACTCTTTTCTCAGGGATCTGTTGGTTTCTCGTCGCCATCAGTAGTCTTTTGTTGTTTCTCTTCTTCTTTCAACAAGACTTTGAATCGGGACACGCGACTTCCCTCTTGCAGCAAGTCATGAGGATAGAAAGTACCGCGCCACAGGATGCCTTGACGTTTTCGAAATTGCCACATGGCATTGAAGAACATGCCGGCCACTATGATTTTACCCAGAAACAGAAAAATCCCGGCAAGGGGATTGAAATTGAGCCATCGACTGTAGACGACACCGTATATACAATGCAAGACCAATATTGCCACACCACACCATTGCAACCAGGGAATGTGGAATGGCACAAAGGCAAATACGGGAGCAATGGCTGTCATGATCAACAGCAAGGCGACAATTGTCGTGGGCATATATTGGAATCCACTGAGCGAGAACAAATTCTTTTCCAATCCTCTCACCATTGCACCCAAACTGGGATACCATGTCCACAAAATTTCATTACGGGCATTGAACATGGCCATTTTGGCACCCACGAGTCTCATGAGCAGCCCCACACCAACATCCTCGGATACTTCCATTTTCAACCATTCCATTCCTTTGGACTTGTCATAGGTCGTTTTGCGCATGAGATTGAACGGTCCCACTCCGGCAAATGCTTTCGAGTTGGGGTCATGGACCTCCCAGAACTTGCCGGAAATGCCCATGATTTCTCCCAGTGCAATAATGGTAACTCGAAGCCAAAAGTGGTTGTTTGTCTGCACATCGGGCAATGCCGTGACAAAATCCAATTCTTGGTCGCACGCAAATGCCAGCACTTTTTTGAGACATGTGGGTTGAAAATGGACGTCGGCATCGGTCAGCAAAATCCATTCGGTTTCCGGCGAGCAGTGTTGAATGCCTTGATGCAGCGCATGGACTTTTCCCAACCAACCGTCCGGCAAGGTGTCAATGTGCAGAGGCGTGATGCGTCCTTGCGTTGCTGCCGAGGCCACGCGATTTATAATGTCTCCCGTGGCATCCGTCGACCGATCGTTAATGGCAATGATTTCCAAATTGGGATACTCTACTAACGCCAGTGTCTCGAGCGCCTTTTCAATCGTCTCGGCTTCATTGCACGCGGGAACAATCACGCTCAAGCGAGGCCACCGTTTGTCTTGTTTGTCTTGGTCGTCTTTGTCTTGATCATCCGAAGGATCTGGAAGATCCTCCATCAACGGAACCACTCGAGTGGCGTACATCATTACCAAGGCATGAGTCGCCCATCCTCCCAAACAAAACAATCCCACCCACACAATCTGCACAATCTCAAACCAATGCTCCACCATGGTTTGATTGATTGATCAATTGGTTTGGTTGATGGCTGGATATAGCCACGGTGCCCACAGTTTTTTAAGTGGCGGTGGTGTTACTATGGATTTGAGAGAGAGCTAAAAGATTTTGTGCGAAATAAGCAGGCAGGCTGTTCTTGTCTCTTTTCTCGAAAATTTGCTGCCAAGTCTTGTTGGTTGTTGGAGAGATCCAAATCAAAGCCAGCGATCTGTTCTTGTAACGGGGGTGTCATCACGGGTTCTGTTGCGTGGTCACGGTGACAATAATAAGCACCCCCGCACGCCCCAACATGTGCTCGTCGCTTCATGCCATAGAGACCCAGGAGCAAAATGAGCAGGCACTTCCTTTGATTAAACCTCGGCGTTTCCTAGCTAGATGGCTAGCATGAGACAAATCCAATTTCACAAGTAAGGTGAATGATTGATTCAATCCCCTTGGTGCTTCATCTGCCACAACACTGCCGCCCGTTACTTTCAGAACAAAACAGGTGAAAGCCAGCCTCATCTACCGGTAGCTAGATGGAGCAGGTCTTGTTTGCTAAATGGAAAAATGAATTATTAATTAAACAGCTGAAGCCAAAGCTTCATCCACGAATTGTGCGTCGTCACTTGTTGTTGGCTTGGCAATAGAAGCAGAGTCTGCTGCTGTATGGTTGTTGTTGTTGTTCAAAAAGACCTTCCATGGACCGTTTTCTTCACCAGCAACTACAGAGCCAGCAACAGCAAAGCATCCAGGATGCACCACACCAGACACATAGGTGTCATTGATTGTTAGCCCCTTGCCATCAATGTAGTGGCCATTCAAGCTGGAGCTGTCAATAACAGTGCATCCTTTGAAATGAAGCTTGCCACATTCATAAAGTGTGTTGCCAAAGTACCACAACTCTCCATCCACTTCAGCTCCCATGAAGCGAGCAAAGTAGGCAAACATGGGTGTGCCATAGAGAAGGTACACAAGCCAGTTTTGATTGCGGAAAATCCAGACATGGTTGAGGTAGATCCCAAACAGGTTAAATTGAAGATGGTTGGGCAAAGTCAATAGCAACCTCTCAACTGCCCATGTCAAGAGCAGCCATAGGAGCAATTGCAGGATGAAGGCAGCTGCCAAGCCACAGGATGTGACCATGATGGAAGCACTCTTGGTTGCAACAAGACCCAGTTCATAGGAAGGAATGAGGGAGGCAAACAGGACTGCATTCAACAACAGCTGTGCCACTTCTGGAAGAACCAAATTCATTCTAATGGGCTGACCTGTTTGGTTCAAGTCATAGATACTGTCAGCTACATTGGTCCTTGGAGGAACTGTGGATTGCATGATCTTGACACCTGCATGTAGATTGATGTTGTAGCCCACACTGCTGTTGATGAGCTCAACCTTGGAGTTCCCTTTCTTGCTAAAGTCAAGTGAAATAGTTGCCACAAATGACTTTCTG